CACACACACACACACAGCACCCCGCACTGTGAATGTCACATCAGGCCGACCAGCCAGCACTCCGTCGAAGTGAAGCCACTCCCCCGACTGCCGCCATGCACTACCAACGACCACACAGACACAACTACAGCCGACCTCCCGCCAGAACCCAGCAGCCACCCCAGCCAAAGGGCTGGCCATCGGAACCAGGAACCCCGATCAAGGGATCCAAACAATCCAGGGAGAACCAGAGCACCAGCCCCACCCCCAATCGCCCCCAAAGGCCCAATACCCACCCACAGCCCAGACCCCAACCAGGCAGCCTACCCCCGACCCCAAATGTCAGACGGAGAATGAGGGTTTAAGGAAAACTGGAAGACCCAACTCCTCCCTCCCCCCATTCAAATAAGATGTTGATGCATGTTGTTATATAGTGCGTTTAAAATTGGGGGGATGAGGCGGCAACTGGCACAGACCCACCTCCTCCCCGGAGAGCAGGCAGTGCCCGTTCACCTCCTCAACCCTTGCCCAGAACCTTAAATGTCTACATGCTACATATGAGAGTGGGCACAGGTCCCAGAGGTGAGAATGATTACACATCCCACCCGCTATATGCCACCGTGTGCCCACTCCAGACCCTATATATGCATGTGTCATGAGAATGTTATATGCGAGTGTCTAGGTTGTTTGATACAATTGGGGCCCAGGTCTCCACGAACCATGGAGATGGAGGATCATCCCCACAGCTCAGTAGTGCACTTGAACCCCAAGGCCCTGCTTGAGTGGTGGTGTGATGGAGGAAGACGTCGGGATGGGGAGGAACAACTGAGGTGGCAATGCCCTCCCGGGGGGCCAGCTCCTCCACTGACCCCAATAGGCACCCCCATTCTCCGATATCCACCAGGGGAGGGAGGCTCCAGTGCATCCATGCAGGAGCAGGAGGCAGCCGCACCACCAGGGACCCAGGCCACGGACCGGCACATAGCCCCGAGGACCGACCAGAATCCGGGCCAGCGACCCAAGCCCCCCCCCCCCCCCCCCCCCCCCCCCCCCCCCCCCCCCC